ACTTTTTTTTTTTCTTAGCATGTTTGCCAGGGTGAATGGCACTGTGGTCAAACCCTTCGAAGGGAAGGAGATGACAGGTGCTAATTCAGGTTCAAGAATGCTCAGGAGTGCGGAGCTGGGCTCCGGACACCACGCTGGGGGACGCGACCTGCAGAATCAGGTCCCACAGCAAAGCCCGGAGAAATGATGGGGGTCCCCTCCCCACTCTGGGACAGGGCACGTCCGTGAGTAGAGGCACAAGGACATTCCAGAAGGTGACAGGCATGGACAAATGGCAGGTATACCCCCTGCATTCAAACTCAAGCTGACCCTCAGGCTTCCCTCTGCACCAGCTCATCTCAAGTATCCATCTGTGTAGCCAAGCCACGTGGGGAGCCTCGTTCGACCCCAGATCAGCCTCGGTCTTTGGGCTCCTGCTAACGCAGCTGCCCCCTCGGTGCCGGTGTGAACCATCTTTCCCTTTCAGACCCACGGCACTGAAGAGCTTCCGCCCCCAGGTCCTCCCTATAAATCCACCCCCAGTCCGCACCTTGCCCGTCTTCTCTCGCAGGGTGGCCATCCGCCTTTCCGGCCTCTCATCTCCCTTCTCCACGTCTGGCCTCTCCCTGGCTCCTCTGCTGCTGCCCACCCAGCCCCCCAGCCTGGCCTGCTGTCTACAGTCCTAGGGGAGGGGGGAGCTCCCACGTTATCCACGTCCTGACTTGGGTTTGGAACCAGCCAGCCCACAGCCTCCTCTGCAGGTCTGTGTGCTCCCCGATAACACTGGGGACCCGGCATGGGGGAGCCTTGCTCAATTTTAAGACCCGGAAACCCATACAAGCAAAGGGAGAGGGCAGGGTGTGGCTCAGCGGTGGAGCGCGTGCTTGGCACGCACGAGGTCCTGGGTTCCATCCCCAGTCCCTCCATTAAAAAAATTAAAATAAAAAAAAGGTAAGAACAAGAAAAAGGGAGATGAAGGCAGTAACGGGCAAAAATGTATGCAATGCAGAAGAAAGAAATTTAAGGGCTATTGGCTGAGGAAGAAAATCACTAAAGGTTTACTATTTGCTCACGACGTTTATCTGCTCTACCAGACGCCAGCCCGGACATGATTCATGCTCGAGACGCTTTGAAGAGCCCCTGGTCACCGCTTGGCAGAAGAAATCTGAACCCATTTTCCCCTCCTCGAGCATGCCTGCCGGGGCTGCCGGAGCAAAGCTGGGGTTGCCTTGAGAGGCCGCCACGGACATCCCCAGCTGCCGCCGGAGTCATGCACGACCACTTCAGAGAGGTGAGATTTCTCTCATTCCTAAAGAGACCACTTCAGAGGAACAAGCCATCGTCTCACGAAGCAGAGACTGCCCCGATGACTAACGCCCTCCCTGCCAGGAAGTTCTCCCCCATGTCTAACTCAAAGTCTTCACGCTGCAATTCAGCTCCTTGCTTCTCTTACTGGAAGAAACTGGAGCCCCGCGAGGGTGCAGCCTTGGCCTGGTTTTATTTCTCTCACCTCTTTTCTCCTGTATCTTGTTTTTAAATTTCTTCAACACCGGGGGAAGCCTTGAGGTGCAAAACCATCACCTTCCTCATTCTGGGAATGGCCCACCCTCCCTAAGACGCGCCCACCCCTGCCCCACAATCTTAAAGGGTTGATTCCCACTGTTTCCCTGACATCTTGCTCCTGACTCTCCGGTCTGTTCTCCTGGTTGAGATTAGATTGGTGTAAAACGGATAACGAGGGCTCCTCGCCTTTCAAAAACATCTCTTTTCTCGTTCTACCGTCACCAAATGCTTCCCCACCTTTTACCAGCGTTTGGCCTCTCGCTGTTCCGGGGACATTCCGGTGGAAATTTCTCCCGGAATAGCGGGCATCCGAGACCTGAACCTGGGTCTGGGGCCAGCCGGCCCCGCCATCTCTCTCCTGGTCTTGCCCTAGTCTAGCTCCCCCTGGCCTTCCTGGCTCTGTTTCTGGTTTGATTCTTCTGTGGCTCAGACTTTCTTAGCAGCTGAATTCCTCTCCTTGGGCTGCTGGGCGTCCACCCTCTTTCCCGTCTCTCCTGTGAGGCTACGATGCTCACAAATCTTTGAAAGATCTTTTTCTGCCCTTTGTCGTCCTTTTTCCTGGCTGTCTGGTATTCCATCTTCAGCAAAGCAGGTTTGCATTTTTTTTTTTTCCATTTAAGCCACTCTGTGAGACGTGTTTGGATCCGGCTGCCAGTTTAAAATGAGGGTGGGGGGGTGGCTCAGCGGGAGGGGACTGTCAGCTCCATTTTCCCTCTGCCCTCCCCGCCCCTGCACACACCCTGCCTCCTTCCCAGTCCTTCCTCTTTGCTCCTCCGCAGGGAGGAGTTTCTGCTTCCTGCGCTCTGTCCTCTGACACCCCTCTCGCCTTCTGCCTGCTCCCCGTAGAGCTGACGAAACCCGGCTGCAAGCGCAGTTCCTTTTCCTTCAATCTACTAACTCCCCGAGCTCTAAAAACTGCATCCTGGCACCTCATGCATCAATTTGTTCAGCGCTCCGGCTCATGCATTACCTTAACAACCAACCCATGACCACATGCAGGAGTTAGCTGACTTCCTGCAAAGGATGGTTTCTCACACACCAGTTCTCTGCAATGCCCTCCCTTGCTGGCTTGTCCCCGCAAACCCCTCCGCCCTCTGCTGCGGGGCGTCCTCTGGGCTTCTGTGCTTTCTGGTCTCCAGGCGGTGGTCCATCTCTCCTTTGCCACCTGCCCCCCCCCCGAATCTGTCAAAGGGCTTTCCCTGCCCGTCCATGTGGCTCCGGCAACCTCTCCTTACAAGCCAAGAAAAGAGATTTCTCGGGTGTTTGGAGCTTTGCCACCCTGAAGTTCCTTCTGTATGAACTTGGCGCTGACCAGAGACGTGCGTGGGGACAGGTCACGCGGGGCTGGGGTGGGGGGCACTGGGAAAGGGACCGCCGGCCATCACAGGCCAGCCCCAGCCCAACGGCCACAGGGGCGCCGGGTGCGCATTAGGAAGGACCTGGCCGGAGTGTCACCGTGAGAGCGCGGCCTGGGGACCCGCAGAAGCGCCCACCAGGGGCCTGACGGCCTCTTACTGGGCAAAGAGCCCACAAGTTGAAGTCCGCACGGGGCGATGCGCTGCGGGTGATCGCAAGGATGGTGAGCGAGCGAGCGCCGTTCACTCTCCAGGAATCGGCCCGACTTTCAGTTCTCTAAAGGATGCCCAAGCCCTGCGGGGATTTTGGTGTGGGGCACCCCAGTTTCTCCCTAATGACCCCTGGAGCCCTGCCTCTGACGCCTCGGCTTTGGTTCCTTTAAAGGGTTCGTGGCTACATGTGCGCACGATCTCTCCCGGCTTCTGGTCCCCCCGGCCCCTCTGTCTGTCCGGTTAGGAGTGCGTGTCTGCTGCCCGATGTGCAGGGACACAGGGAGGGACCCACCTCACCAGTCGTCTCAGGCACTGAACACCGGCCGCCTTTGCAAATGTTTACCACGAACACGCACCACCATCGGCTTAATGCTTCTCTTTACATTTGACTTTTGAATTTATGTAAATGGGTTTTGACGGGAAACTTTGTAGCCGTCATAAAAACCAGCCTCTCTCGGAATAGACAGAAGACAGTCTTAGAAATAAAAGCATCAGTTACAACAAAGCTTGGCCTTCCGTGTCCCTGAAATGATGTGCACGGAGCAGAGCAGAAGGCCACGCCCTGCTCCCAACCCTTTCTCCCACCGACCCTCCCACCGGCAGCAGCCACTTGGAGCAGGGACAATCGATTTGCAAAGGCACTTATTCACTTAATTCAGCTACACCCAATGGCTTTAGCCATCAGCCTTGCCTGTTTGTACAGTTAATTGTAGAGCTAACTTCAAAAAAAAAAAAAGAACCGTTGTGCATAAAACCTACGTGGTTTCTAAGACGCATGAAAACCTACAAAATCCGTTTCTTGGTTACTGCATCAGCATGTCGCGTCGGAAAAGCACTCTGGTGGTGATCATAACCCTGAAAACGTCACATGTGCCACCCCGCTTGGCTGTGGGTCTCACGCGGCCGATCCACATATGGATCTGTTCTGCCTCGGTTCCACCTGTGAACCCTTCAGGACACTCTTTTCTGCAAATAAATGGCTCCCGATACCGCAGTTTCTTCAATTTTTTTTTTTAACCATTTGCTGACCCCTGCTCTATTTTATTTATTTGTTTTTTTGGAGGGAAGGAATTAGGTTTATTTATTTATTTTTGGAGGCAGTGCCGGGGGACGGAACCCAGGACCTCGTGCATGCTAAGCACGCGCTCTCCCGCTGAGCTACCCCCTCCCCGACAGTTTTTTTTCTCTCTTAAAAAAAAACAAAACAACAACAGATATTTCAAGGAACTGTTGACTCATGAGCTGAGGAGAACGGGGTATAATGGAGTGAAAACTGGTCTTTGAGTCAGAAGCTGAGTCTGACTCTGGCTCTGCTGTTTGACCTTGGTGAATTCGCTCAACCTCTCTGGGCCTCTGTTTTGTTCTAAGATTTCTAAACACGGAGCACAGGTGAGTTAACGGCGGGGGGCGGTGGGCGAGATGGCAAATACGGAAAAGAGACATAAGTGTCCGCTCGCCGAGATTATCTGGGCCTATGTTTCACATTAAGAAATGTCTGCTTATCAGATTTTCTGGTTTTGGTCCAACTGGACATTGAAGAAACAAGGATGAGAGAGGTTAACATAAGGTGGCCAGATCCGGCTGCTTCTAAAACCAAAGCTCCAAAAATGAAAGCTCTTTTGCCAGGACACTTGAAATGTGCACTTTTCACAGTCTACCACCCATGTCTTCCTGCAGAGACCAGGGGACAGACGACCCCAGCTAGGGGGCTGGGGCTCCCCGACTCGGTCACTTTGCTCGGGGACACGCTGAGCCGCGTCTCCCGTCCTGCTGACCTGTATTTCGGGGTTTGAGGGGAAGCACCAGGTCAGGTGACTCACGCCACCTGACCACTCTCTCTGGGAGGATGTAAAGGGTCCACAGCTCAGGGGACGCGGCCGGGCCACTTACCCATGCCTCTCTCACTCTTGGAATTATGCTGCCCTCCGGACGTGGTGGACAGGTCCTCGGGGACCGGCATGGGTTCCTCACCGTCGTCCGCAGTGTCACTGACAGCAGGGCTCTCCTTCCCTGTGGACACATGGAAGAGCTTGAGTTCTGGGGCACGCGGTCACCCCGGAGGGTGGCGGTCACTGCGCACGGACCGGCAGGGAGACCCCAGGTTCGAGGGGACGGCATGAACTGCTGGACGGAGTGAATGCCTCCCCGTGGGGGTCAGCATCCATTCTCCTTTTCATAAAACAGTGTCGTTGCCGAGCCCCCAGACAAGAGAACACAGACGCGAAAGCCAGCTAAATCCGCTGCGACCCCGGCACGATGACCACGCTTGCAATTCTGGTGCGTGTGTACGTGTGCACACGCACACGTGTAATTTCACATCAACGAAGACGCTCAGGGATGTATTGAATTTGTGCAATGAATGTCGTTTTTCAGACATTCTCATCAACACCCTTCTGTGCCCGTGACCACAACTGTATTGCCCATGTCGGTGGAATCCTTTATGTAAATCTTTCCTCTGCTTTTGACCTTTGATTGTTTTTACATCTTTTTTTTGGAGGGGGGAGATAGCACTGCGGTGGACATCCCCCCAGCCGGCCTTTGCTGGCTGAGTAATCACCGTCGTGTGACTCCTGGAAGGTTTACGCCTGGGTGCAAAGCATCTTTGGAAGTTTGGTCCACTTTCTCCCTCCTGCAGACCTGCCCCTACATCCTCACGTTAGCTTGCTTTCCAGGCGTCCTGCTCAGGGCTCCACGTTCTGGGTCCACACCCCTCTTTTTCCCCAAAAGCTGGGGAGCACTTTGCCAGCTGCCTAATTCCATGAACTCGGGGAGACAGGAACAAGCCCAGGCAACCCCACGCCTCCCGGAACACGATCTCCCCTCCACCTGCACAGAAAGTCCACGAAACACGAAAGCAAAACAGAACCCACAGGGAAGTGGCTTATCCTTCGCCGGCAGGATTTTGCCAAACGCAAAACGCCTGAATGAGAAAACGTGTCTGCAGAAGCTCCCCAAATGGGAACCTCACTCCCACTCCCGGGAATCGGGGACTTGGTACCAAATATCCTGCTTCCTTCGAAGCTGAGCCTCCGGCATCTTCTAACCTAGATGGAACCTAACATCGAGTTGGGAGACGTAAACCACGGGCAAGGGAAGAGATGGAGTGGAGCCCGGGTGGGTACGGAACAGCCCATCGGGGCGCTGGGGAAGGCCGGTTGACATGAAGGTCCGTACGAAGTGACAGGCTGGGACCACGTGTCTGACGGCTGGGCTGGCCACGTGGCTTCACGCACAAAAGGCGCTTTCCACGCGGACACCCGTTCCTGCAGGAGGGCACACAAATGAGGCCCAGCAGACACGGCGAGGCAGAGGGAGCCATTCCCGTGCGTTTGACTAAACCGCCCGCAAGACCAGGATCAGCCCATCGGAGGACGGGCGGGACCCGGGCGAGGGTCCCCAGCCCAGGAGACGCCCCTGCCGGGAATCATTTGAAACAGGACCCGCCAGGCACCAAGGCGATGCTTTGCGGGATGGCATTGCGTTGCCTAGCAAATGCACGTCACAGTTGCACATTCCAGCTCCACGGTCGTTACCTCAACTGGCATCTTTTCAGAGACAGCATCATCGGGTGCACTTGGGTGGCCGATGCAAGATGAATTGTTAAAGACGGGGCCGGGCTCTGAGCTCCTTCCGAGGGAAAACCAGAGGCCAGAGAGGAATTGATCAAAAGTCCCTGTGTTACGCTCACGCCTCGTAACTGCGCGTTGCATCCATGATACCGTCAATGCCCTAAACAGATGATTTTAAAAGTAGAAATAGCTACTTTTCTGGTAAGAAAATACACATTTGTGTCTGTGTCTAACAGGATCACTTTGCTGGACGCCTGAAAGTAACATTGTAAATCAACTACAGTGCAATAAGAAGAATTTTTTTTTCTTAAGTAGCAATAGCTAAAGTCTTGGCCTTACTTTTCACCCATTTCAAAAATGGGGAAAAGAAAGCTCTGAATACGAGAATGAGGGATGCACATGAACCACCTGCCAACCCTTTTTTCCGGATAATTTCCTAGAGGAAGGGTTTTCCTACTTTGAAGACTTCTTTTTGCTTTTCTTGGGTAAGAATAATCTTACACAGAAGTTCAATATACGAAACTTTTTTCTTTCTCTCTTCCTTCCTTCCTTCCTTCCTTCCTTCCTTTCTTTTTGGAATAGGAATAATCTCACACTGAAGTTCAAATATATGAAACTAGGTTTCTGTGCACGGTGGGGGCATCATAGGCTGGAGGGGCTGGAAGAGCGAAGACCCAGGCCACTCACTTCCACGAAGACCCCTCCCCGAAGCTGGCCTTGGAGACCCACGCCAGCCTAACAAAAGGACCCGATGACTCAACATGCAGAGTGTGGGGTGCGCACACGTGCCTTTACGATGAACCAGTGTCATTATTACAGGTGGGTGGGAGCCACAGGTGCAGGCAATCAGTGGCATGGCTGTGTTTCTTTATCGCGGTCTTTCGGTGGGTGATAACTTTGGAGAACTCTGGGGTCAGCTCGGATACGAAAGCCTGCAGGAGCCAAGGGTTGAGCAGAGAGAACCGGCACTCATCCGGGGAGGGAGTGCTGTCTCTCTGCTCCGTGCATGTGCAAATCCAGCCCACGAACCTGCCTGCAAATTGAGCTGACCCGCTGTTTACGAACAAGACCAGCGACAGCGTGTCGAGGGTGCTGGACGTGCTCTTCAGCCTGGAGGGGCTCCGGCGCGGAACGAGGTGCCAGCTCAGCCCAGCCGCTCCTCTGGGACCACACGGGGGAGGAGAAGGAACAATGGTTCTAAGAGGCCCCGGGTCGGGCTCATCGATCGGGGCTCCCCGCGCAGGAGCAGCGCCCGGGGACGAGGAGGAACAGGACTGTCCGTCTTGGCACAGGTGTGCCACGCACCCAGCAGAAAGTCAGAACTGGAGAAGGCAGCTAAAGCCACTAATTTAGGAAGTGTGGTATCTTTTTACCTCTTAGGAAAATGACTGAAACTTCTCTGCTCTTTATGTTTACTTCCCCTGCTTCTCATGTGTCACAAAAAGCCAGGTGCCCGCCATGCGCCCTGCTGTCACCCACCTCGCCGCCACTCCGTGATGCCTCCTAGCAGGTCCTCTGCTTTGCCTAAAAGCCCCAGAGTCTGAGCACTGTCTGCTGACACATGAATGGCTTTTGTACCCAGTGACCCTCAGACCCTTTAACGGCTGGAGATTTACACGGCGAATGTCGGCCACTTAGTCAAAACCTTCACGAGAAGCAGCCATATTTCTTGCTTTTAAAAAAATTTACCCACATAAGTGCTTACAATGCAAAACCACAGGGAGATGAGAAAAGATAAAAAAAGTCAAGTTATTAAATCAGGTTGACCCATTCCAGATAGTGAAACAGTGTGACTAGAGCGGGAGGGCGCAGCTCAGGGGCATGGCGTGGGTTTGGCATGCGCGAGGGCCCGGGTTCGATCCCCAGTCCCTCCATTAAAATAAAAATAAATTTAAAAAACCTAATCACCTCCCCTCTTCAAAAAAAAAAAAAAACCAACGGCAGAAAAAAAAGAAAAAAGTCTATTAAAAAAAAAAACACTATGACTAGAAAAAAATGTTTAGAAAAGAACCAAGTGGCAAAAAAAAAAAAATCTATTTAAAAAACCCAACAGTGTGACTAGGAAATATTTTTAAAAATTAAAAAAAAAGAGCCAACAGCGAAAAAAAAAAAAAAGTCTATTAAAACAAAAACAAAAACAAAAAAAACACTGCGACTAGAAATTAGCTGACCTGGGGTACAGCTCCGAGCTGGCTCTGGTGGGAACACGGAATCACTCGCCTCTTTAAGACTCTGTCCTCAAGAGTGAAATGAGGCTGCAGAACGTGATTTTGGCTCTTCGCTCCCAGGGCCGTTGTGAGAATGAAAAACCATGATGCGTGAATGCTGATATACCCAGGCAGCTCATGGGATGATTCTGTAAACTGTGACGTCCTGCAAAATCAGACACATTTTCCCCAGGGACACGTGCGCGCCGCGAGACGCACAGAACTGCAGACGGCAAGGCGCCGAGCAGGTAGAGCCACTCACTTACGAAGCCCAGTATCTTTTGACTTCTTAGAAAAATGAAAGGAACTTCTTGCCGGTCTGTATTTACTTCCCCTGCTGCCCACGTGTCACAGGCAGCCTTACCGATGAGACGTGTTTTGGAGAAATCAGAGGAGAAAGTTGTCTAGTTATCTCATCAACAGCCAACAGATAATTTCTCACGGAGACTACAACGCACCTGTTGCTCCTGTGTCCCTAGTGTGTGAAGTTTTACAATCTACAATCACCCAGGTTAATGCAATCCCTGGGGGGGTGGATAAAAATGTTCGGAAAAGAGCCTCTCAGCTCCAGAGAAGAGGCGGGGAGCCTGCCCAGAGCACCCTGTCTGGCACCCCCTCTGGGATTCTGCTCAGTTACTGAAACTCTCCGAGGCCCAGCGCCCTGCGAACTGAAGCTGGGACCAGCATCTCCTTCAATGGGGTCTTGAAAAGCCGGAAGGAGTCAAACGCCGAGGGCAGTGTTTGGTCAACAGACGCTTTCAGTCATCGTGACTCACTCCACCACGTCCCTGGTCGGATGGCACAGGGCTACACACAGCATCTCTTGTCTCCTGCTTCCAACAAACACAGCACACTGCCGTTCAGAAAACATCCCAGCTTTAGGGCCACGGGACCCGGGGACCCTCTAAGATGAAATGGCTCCAGCCCCTCCTTTTCCAGGTGCCACCACAGTGGTCCAGGAGGCCAGGCAAAGGCTCTGGGGTCCGAGGCAGAGGCAGGGATGGGGCGCTGACTCACATCTCACAATCCCATTCTCCCACAGGTCGGCTCTTCCCTGAGAAACCCCGACAAAAAAAATCACGCACTCGTGGAATAAATTATTTGGATAAAGTCCTGAGAAAGAAAGAAAAACTTACCAAAAGAACGAACAAGATGTGCCCTAAAGGAAAGCATGTCTCGTCTCCCCTCCAAGCCCATTTCATAGCATTGTCCCAACACTGGAGGGGACAGAGCGGTAAATGTTTATCGAGTGTCTATTATCTGCAAGATGAGGGCTCAGTCCACACGCAGGGCAAACCTCAGGGAAGACAGAACCCGGTAGATTGAATAAAAAAGTCAGATACGAAGTATTTCTCTGTTTCTCGAGTGACTGTTTTGCACGGAGCAGGTGGACCGCCACGACACTGCTGACGCTGGAAAAATCCTTCAGCTCTGGTGGCTGCAATTTTATAGGGTCCCACCTAGAAAAATCTATTTTTTTTCCGTAAACCGATTCAGGGCAACGTGCAAGATGCCAGCTTAGAAGTTGCCCAGGAGGAAGCAAAGTGTACGCAGGAGAACAGAAACCATGATGGGGTCTCTCTTCACCTTTGCAATGGTTAGCGCCCCGTGTTTCTGACACTCCAATCACCGCGCACCGTGGTCTGCAATCCCGGGGGTTGGAACCCACTTCCCTGGGGCAGGACCAGGGGCTTCAAAGAGCCAAAGGTCTTTTGTTTTCGTTTTCGTGTTCGATAGTTTGATGTCCTGTACTTCTAAAAAGGATGCGCTTAAGGGAAATAAATTCAAATCATGCTGAAAAGCAGAAGACAAAAAGCCAGTGTCCCTCCCTCCTGCCATAAGCCATCCTTTCCTTCCATCCCGTCTTCCGAGAGGAGGTCCAGATTAAATACATAGCACTCCAGAATTTTCCTAAGCAATTGTTAGCAGCCCGTGTTTCTGACATGTATGTGCAGGCGTGTGCAAAGCATCTCTGTGTGTGTGCACGATTCGTTTCCATTTTAAATAAGATCACACGAGGGGGAGGGTGGAGCTCAGCGGTACAGCACGTGCTTAGCATGCACGAGGTCCTGGGTTCCACCCCCAGCACCTCCACTGAAAAAATAAACTTAAAAATGTATATATAAATGAACCTCCCCCTCGAAAAAGTCAAAATTAATCCTTAAAAAAAGAAAAAAGATAGAATGAGATCATACTTTGCACACCATCCTGAAACACCCTGTTTTTTTTTCACTCTCACGTACATTTTGGGTGTCTTTCCACACAACTACATTCATGCCACCCTCCCTGTTAAGAGCTGTATGGACGAGGGCGTGGAGGTACCAACGTTTTCCAGTGTCGGTCCCAACGCTGCCGGGAACGTCTGTTGAAATACTTCGGGCAGGTGGGAGGGGAGGTGTGTCTCGAGCAAGTTCCTCCAACACGACTTGAGGTGATACAGATAATGTGAAACCTGAGGGCCAGTCTTCACTGTTGCCAACTGTCCACCAAGCGCCTCGATGCCACCGTGAACAGCCAGCCTTCTGCTTGGTCTTTTCAAAGCCCGGAATGATGGGAGCGGGTGGCCGGGAGGCAGAGGAGGAGGGGGATGGCTGTGGTCTCCAGGTGGGGGGGACCGGCCTCTGCTCTCCTGCACACCACACGTGCGGTCCTGGTCTCCATCGTGAGGACCGACTCAGCCCGCGAGGCAGACCTCAGGAGCAACCTGGGGACCCGTGGGCACAGGCTGGCCCCGCCCGGAGGACAACACAGGTCATTCTTGCCCAGAGGCCCACCTGGGACTGACCACGAGCCCGAGGCCCTAACATGTGAGATGCTGGAAGCCCCGAGGCTGCTGACAGCCCTGGGGTCCCTACACCTGAAAATCCGGGGGCCGGGCAGGCCCGGCTGGACTGGCTGGTGGCCCACCCTCCTCGGAGTCGCCGAATGTGACCGGCTGTGGTCCAGCCTGGGGCTCACCCCACGACCGCCGACCCCGGTCCTGGGTCTCCCATGATGGGAAGAGCTACATCCAACATGGCCCGAAGTAAACATACGGAGATGCGTGTCTCATGCTGCCTTCTCCTCCCTCCCACCATTCACTCTTTTCCGGACACCTCCACTGGCGTGTGTTTGGGGGTCTAGGGCCGACCACTGAGTCATCGTCCCTCCCCAGGAGGACCCAGCCTCACTGGAACCTTGCCCAGCGGTGCTCAGGCTGAACGGGAGCCCTCATGTCATCACCCAGGTTCCCACACTGGGATCCTGTCTAGGAGCTGACGTTGAGCGTTGACCCCAATCCCATCTCGGTCTTTCATTCTGCACAATCAGCCCTCCTCCTGCCCCGGGACGCGGCGAGCGCCTGAGGTCCAGAGGCCCCGTGGAGCGAGGGGTCCCTCAAGGTCTCACCTGAAACTTGGGACATGTCTTGACCCTCATCCGCGTCCATCGTCCTCAGGTTATCTGGAGAGAGAGAGAAAAGAAGGGTGTTAGCGGAGAACAAACGACATGAGATGGGAGACAAGGAAGCCTGGACCACTTCATGACAATGATGCGCTTGCTTCCTCCAGCCCTCGCTGGAGTATCAGACGGGCGCAGACCCTGATCCTTTTAAAAACAGCATTACAAAGATTTATAAAAATATCATTACCGGCCCAGGAGGACCAAATTTGTTATTTATTGTTAATTTCCAACTGCATAATAACCCAAAATGCAAACTGACTGCAACAAAATTAAGCAGAAAATTAAATGGCCCTGGGTCATTGTAGGCACAGAATTCATTCTCTTGGCTGATCCACAGTTATGTTCTTTCTAATTTACTGAGCATGCATCGATGAACCTTGAGTCAGCTTGGTGACACGCGTACAATCAGCAATCAAAAAACGAAGCAATTTGTTGAAGAATGTCTCATTTACCCAGGCAGGGCTGCATATCTGAGCAGCTCCCGCGCTCCTTCCATCAATAATGCATACACCTCCGGCCTGGCAGATGGGCCAGGCGCCAGCTTCCCTCTTTGTCCCCCTCCTTCAGGGCCCTCGCCTCCGACTCCGCCAGCTCCCGGATGGACGCCAGGGGGACGGTGGCCAGACCCGGCCGGGAGGGCGCCCAGACCGTCCCGTTCATTTTGCTGACAGATGGCTGCAAAAGGACACAGCCAGCCCGGAGGAGCCGCCCTGGGTGGGTGTCCCCAAGGCTGTGGTCCAGCCCCCACGAACACCAGGGAGCAGTGGCCGCATGCGCCTCCCAGGACGCAGGTGCCCGCGGTGCATGGCAGCTGGTGGCTCCGTGGATAAGAAATGTGTGGCCCAGCAGAAGGTGACCTGAGCAAAGCCTGCTCACTTGTGCTCTGCTGGGCAGCCTTCGGGAGAGGTCCTTCCCTAACCAGCAAAACCGAGTCTGTCTGTTGGGTCTGAATTGGGTCACATTTTCTGCATGTCTCGGTGGCTCGCACGTGTGGATCTGAGCTTTCCAGCCTGGACACCGATGGAGGGGGCAGGGGCCCTCCCGTCTCCAGCCTGGTTGAAAGCTCTGAGCAGACAGAGGCCACGTGTGTGTGTGTGTGTGTGTGACCGTTGTCACGGGGCACATGGGCACACAACCTCAGTTTCACCAACACCGGCCCTTGTCATGAAGAAGGTGTGAATTCCCGGATGCAGACGGTTTCCCTGTACTTCTGAAAGTCCCTGCACCAGCCTGAGTCATGGCACGAATTTCCAAGGCAAGTGTGTGCCTCGGGGGGTGGGGGCAGCCGAGACCCCACAAGGGAAGAGGGTTCCAGGGCCTGCCTGCGTTTCAGCCCCAAGACTGCGGGTCCACATCCAAGCCAAAGCCAGGGAAACACAAAACTAGCACCTGTGTCGCCAAAAACCCGTTTGTCCCAAGTCCCACCTCCTTGGACAGCAAGAAAGGCAAAAACCTGTGACTCTTCTGAAACCCTCAGAACGATTATAAAGAAATAAGACAGACTCAGATGAGGAAAATTGTATTCCCCGTGCCACGTGGTATGAGATTCAGTTTTCTGAAGACAAATGCAATATTTTATGGTCAAATATCGCAGACCAGCTCTAAAACAGCCCCATGATGACTGGAGAGCCTTCGAGCAGAACTCAGATCTTCCGGCAACAACTGCTATGTTAACCCCCCTTTCTTATGATGTTGGCTTTGAGCTTTTTGGCTGTGGAAGTGATAGAATTTTTTCACGACTCTATTTTTTAATAAAGGGAAATGAATGCCCCAAATTTCCACCACTTAGAGAACTACATTTTTTTCTGTGTGTGTTTATTTATAAACACACAAGACCTTTTTTTTTTTTAAGAACAGCAGGGTACTGAACATATTCCAAATAAACCGGTGTAAGATATTTTTTCATTTCATGCTACACGCATCTTTTTATTTTACAAATATGCATTAATATCCAAGTTTTCCATGAAAGAGACTGACTTCACCAGTATCCTCTTGGAATTCAAGTAATTTCCAGTGAAAAGGGAAAAAAATGTTCCCTAAGCTGAGCTGAAGGTGCCCCATCTCAGCCCCGCGGGAGAAGGTGTCCCTCCTTCCAGAGACCTTTGTCATGGACCCTCCGGGTTTGCTGGCAGGACAGACTCTGTCCACCCACGCCGAGCCCCGCTCCGTGCATCCTCCTGTTCACGCGGGGAGACGTGAGAACACGTCCCAAAGTGGCAAACTGATGCTCTGAGCCCGTGGACGGGGTGCAGACCAGGCACCGTGGGGCGGGGTGCAGGGAGCGTGCGCACACACGCATCCCCAGGGAGCAGGGGCGAGGGTGCCTTCCTGGAACCCGCACCCCTCTGTGCTCCGGACAGTGGGGGTGCGAGGGGCGGACCACGGCGAGCAGAGGACACTGGATCTGAGCCTCAGGCCTGTTCCCATTTCCACTGAATGTCCGTAACCCCACCCCCACCCCCACCCCCATCACACGCAGCTCCGTTGGGTGATCAGCCTAGCTTTGATTTTCATGCACACCCTCTCCCCACCCTGCCTGACAGCGGGGCCACTGCACCCTATTATGGGGTCCCCCCGTTCTGCATTCTCCCAGCCCCCCCACCCCCGGGCCTGCCCTCCCCTGGCCCGCCTGGTCTGACATCACACCGTGGGGTGGAGGGGTGGCCTGACAAACTCCCACAAATTTCCCCAAACTCTACATTTTTGTATCTCTTGGGACCAAAGGGTACTGACTTTTTCTTTTCTCAAAGCGACTCTGCTTTGGCACAAAGACCAGAGGAATAATGCACCAGTGGAAACCTGTCCGAGGGGAAGGAAATTCCTTTTCCTCCAAGACCGAGTGACCAGGGCAGCCCTGAAGGCTCTCAAGAGGGACGTGACATAACATTAA